CATATGACCCCAGCCAGATGCTTATCCAGCCTTCTCTTAAAGATCCCCAAGGTAGAGGAGAGCACCACCTCCCTTGGAAGCCCATTCCAAATTTTGGCCACCCTTACCATGAAGAAGTTTTTCCTGATGTCTAACCTAAATCTGTTCTCTGTCAGTTTGTGACCATTGTTCCTTGTTACCCCAAGAGGCACCCCAGTGAATAAAGCATCTCCGATTCCTTGCTGCATCCCCCTAATGAATTTGTAGGCCACAAGATCACCTCTCAGCCTTCTCTTGCAGAGGCTGAGGAGGTCCAGGTCCCTTAGTCTCTCCTCATAGCGCTTGGCCTGTAACCCCTTAACCATACAAGTGGCCCTCCTCTGGACCCTCTTGAAATTATCCACATCCTTCTTAAAGTGCCGCATCCAAAAATGGACATAGTACTCCAACTACGGTCTGACCAATGCCGCACAGAGGGGAAGAATTACTTCCTTGGTTCTATTTGTCATGTATCTGCTGATGCATGATAAAGTGTGGTTAGCTTTGCTGATGATTTTGTCACACTGACGACTCATGCTCATCTTGGAGTCCACTATGACTCCAAGATCCCTTTTCGCTGCTGTGCTGCTGGGGGGGTCATTCCCCAGCCAGTAGGTGTGCTGGATATTTTTACACCCTAGGTGCAGCACTCTGCGTTTGGTCTTGTTGAATTGCATCTTTTTGTGTTCTGCCCACTTTTCCAACCTGTCCAGGTCTGCCTGCAATTGTTTCCTACCTTCCAGAGTGTACACTTCACCCCACAATTTAGTATCATCCACAAACTTGGACAGAGTACACTTCACGCCCTGAGGAAGACATTGAAGAGTACAGGTCCGAGGGCCAAGCCCTGCGGGATCCCATTACCCACATCGTTCCAGGTTGATACCGACCCATCTCCTACCACTCTCTGGGTGCAACACCCAAGCCAATTTGCCACCCGCCTGACCATGTAAATATCTGTGTCACAGCCTCTTAATTTATTTATGAGAATGGGATGAGATACCATATAAAAGGCCTTCCTAAAATCCAAGAAAACAACATCCGTCTCTACTCCCTCGTCTAAGCGTTTTGTGACCTGGTCATAAAACGAAACCAGATAAGTCAGGCATAATCTACCTGCTACAAATCCATGCTGGTTGCCCTGCTGCATTGTTTTTCCCGCTGGACTCACACAAATACGAACCTTAATAATCTTTTCAAAGACTTTTCCAAGAATGGAGGTGAGACTGACTGGCCTATAATTACTTGGATCCTTCTTCCTCCCCTTCTTGAAAATAGGAACCACATGGGCCCTTTTCCAGTCCTCCAGCACCTGACCAGAGCACCATGAGCACTCAAACAGCCGTGCCAGTGGTTCTGCTATGACATCGGCCAATTCCTTCAGTACTCTCAGATGCAGCTCATCTGGATCTGCTGATTTAAACACATCTACTTGATCCAAGCAACTGTATCAAGTCAGCGTCGAAAGTTGGTAGGCTGGTGTCCCGCTGATGTCCAGCTAAGAATCAGTTAGGAGACTTATCTTGACCCTTGTTCAAGAACACTGAGGCAAAGAACTCATTGAAGAGCTCAGCCTTGTTTCTGCTGTCTGTCACTAATTGCTCCTGCTTGTTTTAAACACATCTACTTGATCCAAGCAACTGTATCAAGTCAGCGTCGAAAGTTGGTAGGCTGGTGTCCCGCTGATGTCCAGCTAAGAATCAGTTAGGAGACTTATCTTGACCCTTGTTCAAGAACACTGAGGCAAAGAACTCATTGAAGAGCTCAGCCTTGTTTCTGCTGTCTGTCACTAATTGCTCCTGCTTGTTCAGTAGGGGTCCTGTGCAGCCCTGTGCCTTCCTTTTACTCCCTACATACCTCAAAAAATACTTTTTGCTGTCTTTAATTTGTGTTGCCAGCCTCAGCTCCGTAGTTGCTTTGGCCTTTCTAACTGCCTCCGTGCAAGTGTGGGCCAAGTAGGTATACTCCTCCTTGGTAGCTTCCCCCTGCTTCCACCATGTATATGCCTCTTTTTTTTTGCCCTTAGACTCCCCTAGATTTCTCTGTTTAGCCAAGGAAATATTTTGGCCCCTTTCCCTTGCAATGGGATCATCTCTCTCTGTGCCCAAAGGATCACTTCCTTTAGGAATGACCACCCTTCCTGGATTCCCATCTTGCCAATACTCCTATCACTCCTATCCTGGACTCCCATCTCGCCAATACTACTACACAGTAGGACTGTGCAAAGCTTCGGTCCCTAATTCAATTTGACAGAGATTTGGCCCGATTCGGTGGCCGAATCTCTGAATCCGAATCGAATCAGAGGACCCTTTAATCTCTCTGAATCAAAACAAAACCCTCTGAATCAATTTGGAGAGATTCAGAAAGATTCAGAGGTTTGGACATAGATACAGCTTTACATGTTTTTTCTACATACCTCTAGGTACCAGGTGGCTCATGAACGCTGTGATGCTGGAGAGCACGGAGCATCCCACAGGAGCGTGGGGGGCTCCCCAGTGCGCTCGGCAGCAGACCCAGAAGTGGAACGGAAGCACTTCTGGTACACTTTCAGGTCCACCAGGAAGTGCGCAGGGCCACCCCCCCGCACCCCCTGTCTTGGTGACTGGTGCCTCCTGGGTCTGGGGGAGGCACCCAGGGTCCCCCTGTGGCTGATTGCTGAGCTGGGGGGGATGGGGGGCATGCTCCTCGGTGGACCCGGAAGTGGATCAGAAGTAATTCCAGTCCATTTCCAGATCTGCCGTCAAGCACATGGGGGGGCTCCCCCCACCCTGCTCCTGTGGGATGCTCCATCCACCAGACCATCACAGCATTCACAAGCTATGCTGGTACCTTGAGGTATGTAGAAAAAACATTTAAAGCTGTGTCTATGGCTGAATCACCGATTCTCTGAATCAGCATCGAATCTTCAGATTTGGATTCAGCCAAATCGAATAAGGGACAGTAATCCAAATTAACTAATTGAATCACTGTCCCCAATTCGGGCCAAATCCGAATCAAATAGGGTCTGCTTTGCACACCCCTAATGTGCAGCTAGAGTCTCAATAAAAATTACTTTTAGCAGATAATGGCCATTACAAATATATAGGTGAGGCTGGCACGCTAGGTCTCCTCTTCTGTATTCTCTGATGTTTCCATGGTGTCTCAGAAGAAAAGAGGTAAACAGAGGAACATTTTACTACTCTAAGTAAAAGTCCTAGTAAGCATCCACTTTGCTGATGAGGTATGAATTCTTAAAAGATTCTTCACAGTCTGCTTTTAGCAAGTAGAGAGAATCACCATCTTCTCAGCAAAAAAGACAATTGCCCTCAAAAGGAAATTGTCCACCACTGACTGCACTTTTCTTAGGTGCAATCCTGGCATTGCAAGAAAAGTTCATCAAAACTAATAGTGGTCACTTGAGAACAAAAAACATTTCTGGCTGTATCTAAAGCCATCTACAGAGTAGACCTCACTATAGAAATATGCCTTCATTGCCAGGCATTTCTCTCTAGTCTCCTGGGATAATTTATCAATTTATGGTAATTTGTGTAATAAAAACATATTTCACTGCAAGCACTTAGTAATTAGTGATACAGAACTGTATGGCCACTAAAGATTAATTTATTCGTGTGTGTGTGTGTGTGTGTGTGTGTGAGAGAGAGAGAGAGAGAGAGAGAGAGAGAGAGAGAGAGAGAGACTGACTGACTCCTGGAGCAATGATGCGAGGAGAAGCCTGACTGGAGGTACTGCTAGCAGAGTAAAGGGTAGCAGCTCCAAGATGTCTGAGCAATGTTGTTACAGCCAGGTGGTTTATGTTTAAGTTGTAGCCAGGAGGCTCGAGTTTCTGTATGGTTTTGTTGTTTAACACTGGTGGTTTGGGTGAGGCTATAAGGGGATGGAGGAGGCCTCATAGGGGACTCACGGTAGAGTGAGGACCCCAGCCCCAGTGAGGGCACGGAGTTCGGTGGTACAGACCCCAGCTCCAGGGAAGAGCCTGGTGAGAGGCCAACCTTGCAGAGGGAAGAGCCCGGTGAGAAGGGCCGCAGTACAGAGAAGGCCCTAGTGAGAAGGGTGGCGTACAGAGAAGGCCAGCAAGGCCTAGATACGCAGGACACCCGGAGCAGGAAAACTGTAGCCAAGTGGAGGAGAGGTAGCCTCCCTATAAAAACACATATCATCAAAGTCGTGGCGGGCGAGAATAGGAGGGTGCAAGTCCGAAGCTTGGCACAGTAGAGGAGGCGGCAAGGGCTAGCACGGCGACCCTGCCATCCCCCCTTTTACAGGTATCGTTAACTTTCCAGCCAAGCCTAACAAAAAGAAACTGCCCACTTTCCCTAGCCTTAAAAATGCAAATTGTGGAAGTTAACAAGTAAGTTTCTTGGCTCTGCCTTGAATCTCTCCTCAGATTATATGATAACCCTTCAAAAAAAGAAGACAATATGACACACAGTAAAAGGCCATGTGAGGAGATAGGAAATATGCAAGGGGAAGGCTGAAACTAGCTTAGCATTTTAAGAAAAGGAAATTTACTGTAATATCAATTTCCCATTTTTACAGCTTTTTATTCATTTAATTTAAATTCAATCTAAATTGAGTCTTAATATTTACAGTAACTGAAAGCAACAAAAGTCCAGCAGTCCCTAAAGCCCGTCCACAAATATCAATTTATCACCTTTCACAAATATTAACATTTAAACATAAGGCAAATTGCTCATCAATCTGAAAGTTCTATATAATATGTCTTCAGGCAGATTTATTCTCTCTGTTCATTAATCATAAGGCATGAAATATTATATAGAAAAAAAAATTCAATGAACTTACAAGAAACATCAGCATGAAAGATCCCAGGTATATGATGAGGAAAAACAACAAAATCATAAGTAGAGTTAAGATTCCACGAATCCACCAGTTTTTCCATCTACAAAGAAAACATATCAGGACAATTAAAAAAATCTGTACAATTAAATACTTGCTAAAAGATAGATTAATTTAGTGTTCAACCAGAGAAAGTATACTGCTGAAGGAGGAACAAATGGGGGAGGGGGACAAGGAGCAGGGGTTAGGCTACTTAACCTCCCCTACCACTGCTTGCCCCCACCCCCATCACTGCTTTTCCTGTTGTAGCAGTCCTATACATGAACTATAACAAATCTATAAATTTTTCCATGTATAGAATCTAATTACTGGGAGGGTCTTTTAAATTTAAAGTAGTCTTGGATTCAGGTAAATAGACTAATTTGAAAGAGATCTGTGCTCACGTTTATACTGAAACCACAAAGGTCATCAATCCTGATTTATGAGATGTAAGAGAAGGTGCAGTAGGCTACTTGTTCCTATTTTCTATTCCTTTGCAGCAGCTAGCTACAATCTAACCTGCGAAGCAAGGGAAGTCCTGTAGCATGTAAGTATGTCCACAAATACACCACAATTACTTGCATACCCCACCCCCCAAATACAACACACCTTGTTTTGAGAAGGCAAAATGAAGAAAAAAAAGTTTTCCAGAGCCTTCCCTGCACAGCAAGCCCTTAGGTAAGGCTGAACCTTGTGCCTGCATAGAGCAGAGATGGGGTTCCATTGTCAGCATCACTCCCCTTTTCCTGGTTGCCCAGTCAGCACAACTACTGCTAATTCAGAAGTGGCTGAGAAAGGGTTAAACCTGTAGCTGTAGGAGGGAGAAGAGGAGTGACACTGGTAATAGGACATTACCCATGGGACACAGGGTTCAGACTGCTGCCATTCCAATGTGGAAATCAGTTTTGTCACTTAAGTCATGTACCCCCATAATGGATAGCTGATTTTCAGGAAAGAGATGTGTGCACTATGTAAGTAAACACAGTAATATTTTTTTTTTCCTTTGGATCACCATAAAAATAGGGATAATATTTAAGGAGGGGGATTATGTAGTGCTTCATCTAGATGCTCTTAAAAATTAAATAAAATTCCAATTCAGGTAATGGTCCTGTTGCCAGATAAAAAAGAGGCCCTGCCTCCATATATTAGATGATCAGAGGGAATATGATCCTAACAAGTACCCTTGACTCCACCCTTCAACAAAGCGGTATTTTGCACACAGAGCACTGACAGCTGTACCCTCCAAAAATGATTTAAGAACCTAAAGCAGATTTTAAAGCCATGTGTTAACTGGAAGTCCTGAGGTACCAGATTCTGAATAGTATTGAGGACAAGTCTGTTTAGAGACCCAAAGTCCTTCAAGATGTTTACCCTAGTAAGCTGAATCTGAAAATCATCATGCACTGTTGGTCCTCATTCTATGATAGTAGCAGAATGACACTAAAAGTGTTACAAGTTTGTGTTCATGCTTAACTGTCAGGACAGGCATCAAGATGTGAGCAGATAACATACTAAACAAAAAGCTACTAAAAACTAAAGCATCACTAAACTAATTAGAGCAGTGGTAAGCAACATACAGCCTGCAGGCCAGACCCAAACAGTGAAGAGACTGGATCTGGCCCACAGTAGTTCAAAGAGTCAGCAGCACACTCCAGCCCAAGCAGCAAAGGAGGCATCCCCAACATGCTAATGCCTGCCTTTTTCTATCTAGATTCCTTTTGTGGCATCTGCTGATTGCTTGGAAGGTCATGGTTGGGGCTGGGCCACAAGCAGTGGCCCACAGTGGTAAGAGACGTTCAGGAAATTGTTGATGCCTCTATCAAGGCATACCAGAAAATGGGACTGACACAACATTCAGAAGACTTAGGTCCTCCACCAACAAGCTCCTAATGAGCAGTCCCCAGCTTCAGTAATCCAGATCCATGGTTGATGAGTACCTCTGAACTTTCACTAGTTTTTTCCTAGGAACAGCTTTGTGTGTTTTGAAAAAGTATTTTATCTAACCAAGGGCATAGAGTAGGTTGTTTAGGCTGGGGGAGATCGCTTGTTGCTTAGTTGCTTAATTGCTGGCCTCGCTAGAAGGAAAAGCTGTATCAACAAGGTCCCGGGGAAGGTTGGAAGGGGGGTTACTTGGTGGAGTTGGAAAAGGGGGGTTGCTTGCTACACATTTCATCACATCAGCAAGTTTAACCTGTTATGTAGCTATATAAGGCTGATGCCCACTGGGGTGGGGGGTGCTTGCTTTGCGAACGATTGCCAAGCACCACTTTCTGCATAGAAATAAAGATTAAGTTGGATCCTTCACCCCTGTGTGTTTATTGGCACAAGCGCACCGGGCACGAACTCACTGTCCTTTGGGGACAACATGGTGAGACGCTGGAGAACATTATTTCCCATATCTCAGACCCACCTCTTGCAAAAGAAATCAGCAAAGAAATCCAACATCGCTTCAAATGTGCAAGTGCAGCCTCTGGGTGCCTGAAGAAATGGGTGTTTGAAGATCGTGACATCAGATCCAAAACCAAGTTTGTGGTTTATCAAGCTGTCATGATTCCCACCTCACTGTAATGAGCTAAGACATGTACAACGTCTGAATTAGAAGGTATTAAATCTGGTGAGGGGGTGTGTGCAAGGACTCATGAAGCCAGGTGAAAGCCTGTTTATACTAAACTGACTTACTAAAACTTCTGTTCCTAACTGTTGAGAAAATGAGTTGCTGGATGTGGCAAGTTACTTCCAGAATATTTATGTAGTGAATAACATTGTCCTCCTGTCACATTTCAGTTATCAGCCTATGACACTTCTGAATATGCCTTAGTTGGACTACTGCACACAGTTAATTACAACAGCAGAATGAACTGAATGAGATGACTTAAGTACACAAAGTGCTTCATGTTTGAAAGAACTGTGCCTCTACAGCTAGCTTCATGTACATATAAAACATTCCTGCATTTGACCTGATTACTACTCAACTGGTTTTGAGGTTAAAACAGAAGCTAAGCAAGGCTGCATCATCCCTCCAACACTTCTAAATCCGGCATGCTCAGGACCAAGCATGTGCTGGAAATTTGAAAATTCCAGTTTTTTGAAACTGGAGTGGCTGCTGGTCCTGAAGCGGTGGCTGCACAGAGTGGGGTGGTGGATGGTAGGAGCAGCCGCCGCGTGCAAGCTTCCCTGTCCACATCCGGGGGAGGTGGCGGAGAGTGGCGGTCGGTCCTGGAGCAGCGGCTGCACACAGAGTGGAATGGTGGTGGCAATGGTAGCCGCTGCATGCAAGCTTTCTCTTCTGCGTTCAGCGGGTGGGGGGAGCGGTGGCCAGTCTTGGAGCAGTGTTCACATACAGAGTGGTGACACGGGGTGATGGATGGCAGTGGCAGCTGCCAGGTGCAATCTTCCCCCTCTGCGTCCAGGGGAGTGGAGAGGGAAGCTTAGAAAGTGCTGGATTTTTGACAATTCCGGATTTTTGATATCCAGATTTATGAGGTTATACTGTATTCCTTGCCATGATGCTACATCTGACCACTAACAGCTTCCACCCAGAGTGGAGCTAAAGTACTGAATAGATGGTAAGCTGTTTCATCTCAGCCAACTCCAAGACAAAACCAAGACTGCCCTGACCTTGATCACTGAGCTCCAGTACACTGATGATGCTGTAGTGTGTGCTCACTCAGAAGCAGACCTTCAGGAAATTGTTGATGCCTCTATCAAGGCATACCAGAAAATGGGACTGACACTTAACATTCAGAAGACTTAGGTCCTCCACCAACAAGCTCCTAATGAGCAGTCCCCAGCTCCAGTAATCTAGATCCATGGTGAGACGCTGGAGAACATTATTTCCCATATCTCAGACCCACCTCTTGCAAAAGAAATCAGCAAAGAAATCCAACATCGCTTCAAATGTGCAAGTGCAGCCTCTGGGTGCCTGAAGAAATGGGTGTTTGAAGATCGTGACATCAGATCCAAAACCAAGTTTGTGGTTTATCAAGCAGTCATGATTCCCACCTCACTGTATGGAGCTAAGACATGTACAATGTACAGGAGACATCTGAAGTTGTTGAAGTACCATCAACGCTGCATGTGTAAGATCCTCCAAAGCCAGTGGGAAGACAGATGCACCAACATTAGTGTTCTCCTGCAAGCAAACCCCACGAGTGTTGAGGTGATCATCATCCAACATCAACTTCATTGGGCCAGGCATGTCATCCGGATGTCCAACTCCAGACATCCAAAGCAAGTTTTATTCTCCCATCTCAGCAATGTGTATGCTCAAGAGGATAACAGAGAAAGCACTTCAGGGAAGTCCTGAAGGCCAACTTAAAAAAATGCAACACTGATGCCAACTTGTGGGAGACAATTCCCCAGGACTATCCCAAATGGAAGAAAAGTCTGCTGTAGGGATCTCAGTGCTTTGAAACTTCATGACAACAACAGTAGATGGAAAAGCAGGAGCAGCAGAAACAAAGCATCATGGAACAAATCAAGAATCCAGCGCCACCCACCCCACACAAAAACACACATCCGAGCTGCAGTAGAGTCTTTTGATCCCAGGTAGGCCTTATCAGCCATCTTTGGACACACAGATAAGACAATAATGGAAGACAATCATCCTCAACTGTGAGGGATTGCTGAAGATGATGACTCAACTGATATGTCTACACTGTGTTCCTCACCTGTTCCAGTACACTTCCAAGCATATCCAACCTCCTGCTGACAACCCAGAAGCCATGGTGGGTGTAGATCCCTACAGTCACTTTCAAAACTTCTGTTTTCAGCATGCAGGGGCACCCCAGGGCAGTTTCACTATTGTATTCTTGGCTCTGACAAATGCAAGCGAAAGAAGACTGGGACATGCTTGGGAACATCACTGCCTAGACACACTAGAGATGCAGTACAGGCATGCCCTTTGATTCCTGCCAGCTATGGGGAAAATAATAAAATAAAATGGGTATTGCTTGCTAGCTCCCATCTACACTTAATTATTTTGTTACTATCTCCCAATAAAAGGCACAAAGGTTGATGGAAAAGTGAATGTAAAGCTAACCTGTCAAAAAAAATTTGGATTCCTCCTTCTTTAGCAAAATGCAAAATAACTCCAATTAACTAAAGGTGGCCAGAAAGCCAGCATATTACATGAAGCCAAAAAAATTAATCTTCTTAAGATCAGTCACAGTTACTGGTATCTGGCTCCTGTCTCTCTGTGATGCTTCAGCATTTAAGTTAAGTTAAAGTTATTTAATAATTATTTCTTTATAATGGATGAAGCCAGGCAATCTTTGGGTGGTGTACTGAAAATGTTAATTTCATAAAAACTGGTACTCAAGCAAAAATGTAGCTAAAGATCCATAATAATAGATCCAAAATAAAGGTATATGTGTAAAGGTTATCACATAGGAAATTAAATTTGCAATATAATTACATTTAGTCAGCAACTCTCAACATTCTTGTCCCAAATGTGTTAGGAATCTCACTTTACTATACCTGGCAGATACGCCAGAAAGAGCTCTTTTGAGTATTTCTGGAGTGCTGTCTGTTGATGGGGGAACTTCAGGAATATCTGAATCATTTCTGAGATCTAAATCTCCAAATCTGTCATCCACATCCACCTCCTATGACAAAAAAACAAAAAAACACATGTGACTATTATTTAACTCTTACAAAGGCAGTATACATTTTATCTGAAACATTACTTCAATATGAAAACTATTTCTCAGACAATGCAGTAATGGCAGATCAGCATATCTATAGATGTTTAGGGAGAATGCAGTTTAGCTCAACAAACATATATTTTACACAGAGATTTATCTTCTTATGAACTGAATAGCTCTGATGATACCTAAGGGCGTATGTAGACAAAACGATATTTCCTGTTAACACCGACGCAACTGCATTTGTGCTTGCAAGACCTGGGATTTCCTGCTGTGTTGCAGGGCACTTAGGTGCCTGATCCTAGAAGAGCAGAAACTGCCTGGGGAGAGCCCAAGGAGCCAGACAGGAGCCCAGGTGCAGGTTGCCATGGCAGCTAGCTAATGAGGAAATTCGTCTGCACCTGCACCTGGTCAGCTGGCCGGAAGGGGCAAGGCCCTGGGCCCATATAAACCCCAGGATGGGGACTAGTGAGTTCAGTTTTCTGCCGTCAGCTAAGGGGGAAGGAGCCCTCCTAGAGTGAGTGAAGGGAAGAGGCCTGACTAAGTTCTGTTCCTAGTAATGTAAAGGGGCAGAGCATACCTTATGCAGCTTGTGTTATGTTATAGCCCAGGGGCTTATGTTTGGTTGTTGTTTTACAACATGGGTGGTTTGGGTGAGGCTACTTGGGGAAGGAGGAAGCCTCATTGGGGGCCCACTGCAGTGTGGGGACCCCAGCGCCAGAGAAGGTGCAGCATTTTGGGTGCACAGACCCCAATGTCAGAAAGGGCATAGCATTTCAGGGGCACACAGACCCCAGTGCCAGAGGGGCACAGCATTCAGGGGGTGAGCAGACCCCAGGACCAGAGGGGCACAGCGTTCAGGGGGCGAGCAGTTCCTGGTGCCAGAGGGGCACAGCTTTCAGGGGGTGAGCAAAAATGGGGCTGTGGAGGGCCCAGGCGCCAGTGAGGTGCAGATACAGGTCTGCGGGGGGCCCAGAGTGGACAAGGGGGCCAGATCACAGCAAGGCCTAGACAGGACAATGTCAATGCCATCTGTGAGGCTTGGGGCATGGTAAAGGGGCGGTTGGAGCCACACATATAGCCCGTAAGGCTGGGGACCCACGGGGTCCAGGGAAGTCCATCAGGACCATGTCCGACTGGGCATGAAAGCAGCCTCCCTACATTACATTTACATCAAGACGTGGCGGACGAGAAAAGAGGGTGTCCATCAGGCCAAATTGGCACAGTCGAGGGGCCTTAGGAGATCATGGCCATCCTTAGGGACCCTATCCCATGACACGCTGCTCCAAAAGTCCATTTAGCACCTTTAACTGACACTACTTGGAGATGTGTTATTTTTGCTGCACTCCCCAGTTACAGCACCCCAGCTATGGAAACAGCCACAGACTCCAAAGACTTCTAATTAATTCCCTTCACCATGAGGTGGCACTGTTCCAGCCTTTAGCCAGTAGGTGCCTCTGTGTGTTCTTTTTTTTTTTTTTTTAACCTTCACTCACTCCTCACCCCTCCCTCCTCCCTCACAGCATGCAGTGGAGTAGTTACCGGTTTGGGTCAGGTCTGCAAATTATTATTTTTATTTTAACAAAAAGAAATGGGGGAGAGCCAATATTCCCTTAACTTACTACCCCCTCTTAATTCTTCCACCCCCCACCACCTATAGCATATGTCCTCCTGCCCCATGTACCCTCCACCTGCACCCCCCCCATGCCTCTACTGTGTGCTGCCACTGCAGTGGGCATAGCTCTAGATGACAGTTGCAGCAGTAATGGTAAGTTTTTTGCAAGTAGTTTGAAACTTTGGAGTGAGCGGTTACATGACTTCCTTCACTATTGCAAACCTTCTGAACTTCATCACATTCCATTTCAGAACCATGACCAAAAGTTCAGTGGCAGGACACTGCCTACCAGATCCGACACCCAAGATATGCAGCATCCTGGGTGACATTTAGGTAATATGTCCCACCAACTTTGTGGAGATGTGTGGGGGGAGGCAAGGGGGGGAAAAGTCCATTTTTTTGACTGCTCCAAACCCCTCTCCTCTTCCTTTTCTTCTTTCCACTGCCCTGCAGAAAATTTTTGGAGTCAGAACTTGCTGGGGTCAGCAACCAGTAAAAATTAAAAATGAAGAGAGTGAAAGATCTATATTGTGCAGATTTGCAGTCATTTTTTATTTTTGTATATTTTGTATGTATTTTATATTGTAAAGGTGCTGGGGAGGAAGATCTCCCTTTTGTATAATACTGTTATCCTTATTTATTTAAAATCTTTGTTAATTTAATAATGTATTACTTATTATTTAAATTCTTTTTTAATTTAAATTTAAAAAGAAAATTATTATTTTCTTTTTTTTTTAGAAAAGAAGAAAATGCACCACACCACTCTTTTTTGAATAAAGTATTTTATTTTTGCTCTATATATGTCATGTCTGCTTTCAGGTGAGTTGGTGGGGGGAGGGGTGGTTTTCAGAGACTGCGCCCACTTCAGCATGGGGGTCTGGTTGAGGGTTTTTATGGAGTCATGGCATTACTGGAAAGAGTTGCAAAGAGTTGCAGGGTGGACTGTTATCAGAGGGAGGTCAAATGCTTGTTAAGTACTATGGTGCAGCCAGCTTGTCTTGCAAGAAAAAAAAGACTAAACAACCACACCCACCACTAGTGGCAAGCAGGCAATCTGTAAAACTTCTCCATGCATGGACCTCCCAGGGCCTTTAGCAAGTCTTTAAAGACTTTAGTAAGTCTTTAAAACATTATAATGCATTTCATATGCATGGTCACTGGGGAGGGGGGATTGGGGGTTGGGGTTAACACCTGCTGCCGCAGGTCCAAAGACAGCTTTTTTTTCCTGACACCCTGGCAGTTTGTTTTTTTCTTTGCAGGCTGTACTGTTATAGGGGGTGTGATGCAACAGTGATTTTTTTTCCCCCCAAAGCTTTCTTTGCAATGCAATGTGTCACAACCCAAAGTTGTGGTTTTTTTGTTTGTGTGTGCTTCGGCATCGCTAATTCATGTTCCCACCAAATTGCAGCTCTTTTGCACAGTGGAGTGTTCTGCTGCAACAGAGAACCCGCGTGCAGGAGCTTTTCCCGCCAGTTCTGTAGCTTTCTTTGCATAGTGCATTTCTTTTGCATTATAGCAATGCGCGATGCAAGGAGTCACTGCCATTTGTATTAGGATTCGTGCCACATTATTGGCCAGTCTTAACGTAGGCACACGTGGCGGCTAGCTATTGGCTTGCTAGCCTTACAAAAGGCTTGGGTGGTTTCCGCCCAAATCGGAGAGAGAGAAAGCATGTGGAGTTCGGGAAAGGAGCGTGAGGATCTCTAAGCGCTGCTGATCCATACGAACCCAGCTTTTTCCTTAAGAGGGCAACAGAGGTTTAATTTGTCGAACCCACGGAGCTTCAACAACTCCGCGGGACTTATTTACCGTCCCCTCGGAGCCTTAACGACTCCGAGGCAA